GCTGTGTTTTCTATAGAAGGCTTCAGCGATACCTTGGGGTTTGAGTTGATCCCTGAAAGGGACACAAAGACCATCCAAAATAAGAGGAAAACAGATTCTCTTTCCAAGGATATGAGCTGATTGCAAGAAAGCGGGAACTTGTGGCTGAGGTGCAGAGCAGGAAGCTCAGGACGGTTTCTTGTGACAGACTTCAACAGGATTGCTGGGTATTTATATAGTTACCTATTTCTGCATAACTCATCACTCCAAAACTTAGTGACTTCAAACAACAACCCATTATTTCTCACAATTGTGTGGGTTGACCTAGTGGTCTTTCTTCTGATCTTCTCTGGGCTCACCAAAGTGGCAGCAATCAGTGGAGGTTTGGCTGAAGTTGGAACATCCAAGCTGGCTTCTATCACATGACATTTGGTGCCGGCTGTTAGCAGGGACATCTTGGTTCTCCTTCCTGGGACTTCTCATCCTCTAGTAGACTATACCAGCTTCCTTACACCACAGCCTCAGGGAAAATCACAATATGTAAGCATTTACAAAGCTTCTGCTTGCATCACTTTTGCTGATGTCCCATTGGCCAGAACAAGTCACAGGCCAAGCCCAGAAACCACACAAAAGGAGACTGAGACTGTTCTTGATGGGAAGAGTGGCAAAGAGCTTGTGGGCATATTTATTCTACTACAGTAACAAAATAGACCAAGTTACTGAATATAAATGGGCTCGACTAGGAAAGATAAGTAAAACGTACCCTCCTCAGACTTCCCACCTGAATTTATGGCAACAACATCTTTCTAGTTGCTCAAGCCAAATCCTTGGAGACTTCTATGAGTTTTTTTCTCTCAAGCTCATCACCTAATACATCAAGAAATCCTATTGGCTCTACTTTCAAAGTTCATGCAAAATCCAGCTACTTCTCCACACTTCGACTGCTACAACCCTGGTTTATGCCACCATCACCTCTTTCCTGGCGCTCAATCCCTCAGGCGACCCTCTGAGAACTGTAGAAGCCACTTCAAAATCATCCCACCAAGTGATGAGGCAATTGGGGCATTTACCCATTAGCTCTCATCATCCAATTATTGTAGAATTCTTCTCACACTCCCTAACATTTTCACGCTGTGTCTGTACTTGGTTGAGCAGGCTCCCACTAAGTCAGAGAATGTCCTCAATAAAAGAAGGAGAGAGATACAGTTTCCCCAGGGATACTCTAATGAAGTATCACACATTGAGTGGCTTAAAACAACAAAATTTTATTGTTGCACAGTTCTGGAGGCTAGAAGACTGACATCAAGATGTTAGCAGAGCAATGCTCCCTGTAAAACCTGTAGAAAAGATTACTTACTTGCCTCTGGTTTCTGGTATTTGCTGATAATCTTTGGCATTCCTTGGCTTGTAGATGCATCACTCTAATCTCTGCCTGCATCATCACATGCCCATCTCCTCCATGTGTGTCTCTCTTCTCCTTTTATAAGGACACTGGTCATAGTGGATTAAGGGCCCACTCTAGTGCAGTATGACTGTATCTTAGCTAATTACATCTACAATAACCTCATTTCCAAATAAGTTTACCTTTTGAGGTACCGGGGGTTAGGACTTCAGCACATCTTTTTAGGGAACACAACTTTTGCCCATAAAAGATGGGAAGCTGTAAGCATGTTGAAAACTATCTTCCATGGCTACAGGTTAATTCAGGGGTAAGCACAGAGTATGTAGGGCAAGACACCAACAGCCATAGGTTATTACTAAAGTGGTAAATTCAAGGATTGCCTGGAATGAAATTGTCTGAAGGATGGGAGGAGAACGAAGGCCAGTCCCAGAAGACTATGATCCACTGTCAAGTCTCCAGCAAGAAGAAATGAAAATATTGAGCCTGAGACCTCATTTGTACTGGGATTTTCTGTCTGATGATAGGTTAGGTCAGCAGATTCAAAGGTGGAGACCTACCATTTCCAAGAAACTTAGTCATCTCAGGGAACCAAACCTCCAGAGTGGGAGACAGCCATGTCTGAATCTGCATATCACTTTGTAGGGTACCCAGCTTTAGAGAAAGTTTTAGCACAGGAACTGGGCAGGTCAAAAAGCAACATTTAAGCATCAACCTAATTAATCACTTTGGATGGAAAGCTGGTCACCCAAATGCTGGTGTCTATATAACTCCCATCTGTAATATCTACATTAGAAGAACTTTTCAAGCCTTGGAAATTCTCTTCCCAAGAGTGTCCTGTTGCAGAGCAGACGTTTGCAAATCATTTAGCCTGTCGGTGATGAATTAGTTTTTAATGGCATTCTCATGTACTTGTTATAAATCATTAAGCATCCAACAGACTGTCTCCTGTCTTCACAGACTTGGTCTGCCGAGGTTCCTAAGTAGCAAAAATTCACAGTGATGGGGACGAGGTTGGCGCATCCGGTTGAAGGCAATTCTTCACTTGCATTCTCACTTGTCTCACCTCTGTCCACAGCTCCTTTCTCCTCTGTCCTCCTCCTCCATTCCTCCCTCCACTTCTACTCCTTCCTCTCACCTCCCAATGGCCATTGTCTTTTCCCACCTCCTCACTCTTCCCTCAGTCCTTTCTAACCTGCTTCATAACTCTCTATTTCTCTTATCTCTTTCCTCCCTCCACAATTTTCCCCTTCTCTTTTACCATCTCAATCTTTCCTCAACATTACAAATAAAAGCTGTTTTCTTTCGATAAGCGGAGAGAGAGATCCACATGCTGACACAGTATGGTTCTTAACACCAGTAATACATTCATGGTCAGCTCTTCCTGGAGATGCAGGAAATTAGAGTTGGGGTGGGGGCAGGCAGAGAACAAGAACAAACCCAAAAAAGAGAAAAAGAGCTCCGAGTCAATTGAAGGGAATGTATAAGTATTAACTGTACGTGAGACCGTGCACCAATTGTTAAAATTAACAATATGGTATTTTAGTGCTGGAGGGAACATACATGCTTTTTGGAGACATATGAATAACGGTTTGAACCATGGATATGCCACTTACTAACTATAACTCTGAGAAGAATTTGGAATAATGTCTAAGATAAAGTATAAGATACTATAAATAAAAGATAGTAGCACAGAGTAGATTTTTCAGAAGTAATTTTCCTTTCTCATTTTAACATCTGGTTGAGAGTTAGAAAGAGAGAGAGTTAGAGAAAAGATAAGTCAAATTCAAATAATTTTAAAAAACAGACATTTATTGACTGTGCATTTATTGAGTATTGCGTCATGCCAGCCTTATGCAAGATCGTGGATTCAAAGCAGATTCTTTGCATTCTGCACTATCATGTGCTTCTAATGCCAGTAAAACTGAACAATAGATGAAGTTTTACTATGGCATTGTCAAGTTAACCTAGTTTTAATCTTTAAGCTATTACTATTGGCAAAAGCACTAGACCTTTCCTTCACTGAGGAGATGAAGACTGTGACACTTGAGCAACTTAAACTTCCCCTCCCTCCTGATAAAGTGTTTCTACTCATCACCACCTCTCTCTTTTCTCCCACTTTGTTACCAAAACTTATTAGAATTATTTCTACCTGCATCCTCAATGCCAATCTGTGTCCTTGCTGTGCCACCTGCGATATCAATTCCTCTCTCTCACCTGTGTCTTTACTCTCTTTCTCTCTTGTTCGGAGTTTTCTCCTCAGCTTTTAGAAGTGTTCAGGCTTTCCTTGTCTTGAAAGAAACAAGCCTCCTTTGCTCCCCACCCCTCCATATATGAGGTTACTCTTCTCTCTCTGTTTCACCTCACATCCAAACATCTAGAAAGAATGCACCTCGCAGGCTGCCACCTTTCCAGATCAGCATCTTCCTTGGCCTCCGTGCAACTCCATCACAGATCACACTCTTATTTTTAGTCATTCATTGCCCCTTGCTTTCCGTGACGATCTCATACTCAAAAGACCTTCAGTGTCTCATCAGAACCTCATGAATTGAGTCCAGATTATGTAGCTCAACTCTCTCATTCCTCCCAACTTTTAGAGTGTTTCTCATCTCCCATCTGCCACTTATTCTAGGTCTCACTCTCACATCGCTTTTCTTCTGTATCTATACACTCCCCCATTGGAAACTCTTCCTCAGTCCTCAGGCTTTAACATTCAACCCTCTGCTGTTTATACACAAAGGTCCAGATCCAGCTAATTCTCTCTCCTGAATCCCTGATTCTGGAGGGCCCAAGATCTGCCCGGTAGCTCTATTTGATCATTTGTCTAAACCTCAGATGCAATACACCTAGAAATCAATTCTTCATGTCTCCTTCCAAACTAGCTTTTTTTCTGAGCCTGCCAGTTGCTGGAAATGGCACCATTATCCTGCTAGGCACCCAGACTCTACAGCTGACCAGCCTTGGATGCCTCTCCCCTCCTTGGCCCTCACATCTATTAGTGCTTAGTTCTTTCAACACTGACTTTATAGCGTCTCTTATGGAGCCTCACCACTGTCCAGTGCTATTTCCATTGTCACCTCCCTATTCCTGGAGCATATTACCACTCGCTTGAACTATTTCAACAGTCTCTCAAATGATCTCCCATCTTTAGTCTCTCCCCTTCCCTACCCCTCATGTCATATACAGATGCCAATCTGTATTGCTGATGCTCAAATGCCACTCTGCTCCTGAAATGTTGCTGAAATAAGGACCAGCTCCTTAGCCTCTTGTTCTACTGTCTCCCTGCTCTTTCCCAACCCAGATCTTAACATTTTTTAAGTGGCTAATGTGTGGGTGCTGTGCTAAGTGATATATACGTGTGTGTGATTATTACATTGTCTGACAAACAGTAGGTGCTCATCCCATTGTGAGTTCTCAATAAACAGTGCTGTTTTCGTTATTATGCTGAGAACACTGAGTACCAGTTTCCTCATACAGCAAGGAGGTAATCATATATAATTCATCAAATTGTTATGGGGATCAAATTAGATAATATATCTATAAAGCTTAACACATTATTTACTGAGCACGTACCAGATACCCCATTGATAATAGTTTCCTTCCTACCCCCATGCTCACAGGCCTGGTGGCTACACTCTAGGGCTTTAAAACTGAACTAGAGGTCCATACATTCATTCAGGTGTATATTAGGTCATTGCAGTATCGAGCAATGCACTGTTAAAACCTGACTGAATGGGACAGAGAGTAAATGATGTAGAATTACAGAGAAAAACACAGCTTAAGCAAAGAGGGAACTTAGAAGTTGAAATGACAGACCTGCAGATGAGAGTAGAAGTAAAGCTTACACACAGCTTAAAGTAAATTAAAGTCTTTATTTATTCCAAAGAAAACAAACCTACTTTTTCTGACCAGAGTTGAGAAATTTTAATTTCAATCAGTCTCCATTCATTTTTTTTTTTTAGGATAATGTGTTAAGCCTGCCTTGCAGATAAAAATAACTAACACTTGTTGATGATTTACAAAACAATGTTATATGCATTATATATTTACACCAGCCCTGTGAGGTAGGCAATCTGATCCTTTCCATTTCACAAATGAAAAATGCAGAAACTAAGAGCTAATTTTCTTGCCTGAGTCACACAGCTGAGAAACTATAATGTTGGCATCTACTGAGATGCCAGACTTAAAGATCTTTTGAATCTACTCCACAGATATTTTTATATTATTCATATTCCTTAAATGAATATGTATATATGTATATATGCATGCATGTATGTATATACGTGTGCATACACACTCACTTATATATGAGATATCTAGATATATACACACACATATATGCATACACATGCATGCATATACATATGTTATTTAGGACAAAGCCAGACACACAGAAAGTGCTGTTCACCAAATATTTCCAGTTCTCCTTCCCTCAGGCACATGGAAGAATTGCACTTCCCTGAACCCCTGTTTAGGGGTGATCATAGGGCTGACTTGAGCAAATGAAATTTGAGTGGAATTGACATGTGTCAATTCCAGATGGAAGCTTTTATGGCTGGTACTCCTGCAGTGTTCTTGCTTTCCTTATACCACTGAGACCAAAACAATCCAGGTAGTGGCTGCTCCATCTGCCTGGGTCCTAGAGAGATATCAACGTGAATCAGAATCCTGGGTGGACAAGAAGCATGAGCAAGAAATAAACCTTTGCTGTTAGAGCACTGAGATGTTGGCGCTGTTTGTTATCGCACCATAATCTAACCTCTCTTGGCTGATGATTTTGTTGTTGTTGTTGTTGTTGTTATCATTATTGTATTATGCCATCTCCACCAGCATTTGCGAGGAGAAAGCAGAAATGCTCAGGGCGAGCCCGCAGTGCTGCATATATTGAAGGTTCATTACACAGCCCAGGAGGTGTAATTCAAATTGCCTTTACCATGTTCCATTTGGAAACCCCAAGGGGCCTCAAGTCAATCCCCAGAGGAGAAAGGAGACGTATAGGCAAGGCCAAGACTATTTAATCACACTCATTAATTTCAAGGTAAAAGTTGGGTTTATAGCATTATAAAATGAAAAGTACTCCCTTGCCTAACTCCTTAGGAGACAGGCCTGAATGTCATTCTTAGTTTATTTCTCTAGGGAATTAACTGCTTGGATTCCTTCAAAGTTTAATTAAATTGTCACATAACACATAAAATAGCAAATAAAACAGGCTTTTCCTATGTCCTGGTGTTAATTTTATGTCATCAAAATTGTTTAGCTTGTTAGCTGCCTAACTCCGGCTGCCCCAGTTACCAATTAAGGGTTCTATGTGAATGCTTCTTCCCCATTTAAACACCAGCCCAGGCTACACTCTTGTTAAACTTTTCATTTGCTTGGGGTTGCAACTACTAATTTTTTAATAGGTTCTCGGTCATTTAAGTTTTATGCTGTGCAGTTTTTGATAGCAGAAGAAAATTCAAAAAGTTTGGCTCAGAGAAAAAGTGTCGCCAAGCTGAAGCGTTTGTGGAAAGGGACTTTAGAGATTATCAGCTCTAATCAGCTTGTGTAGATGAAGAAACTGAGGGTCAGAGTGGTGACCTCAGCTGTCATGGTCACATGAATCAATGGCAAGGATGGGGTTAAAACCCAGGAAAGCCAATTCTAAGGATGATGCTTTTGTGAATGTATATAGCTACCACTTTGCCTGATACCCTCTTCTCGATTCTGAGGGTATCAGCCAAAAGACATTCTGGGGGTCTCATCGTCTCTTAGGCAGGCGATTGATTCATAATCTTTTTATTGGCCTTCCTGAGTCTAGGCATACTGTTAGATGGGCACTCTTGCCTATCCTCCATCCTTCCTCTCTCTTCCCTTCCCCAAAGCTCAGTTTCCAAAAAACAATGAGGACACTCTGTTTCATTCCCAGGAGGGAGCAGAGTTGGAACGAGCAACTTGGATCATCTGGCCCCGCCTGCCCCCCTACTCCTCCCATGGGAAAGAGAATGACCCATCTAATTAATGTGCCTCAGAGGCATGACACACACTGGACCACATGGGCTGAGGGCAGAGCCACTGCCCTGAAAAGCCAGTGCAAACCTGGACTTTGATGCTCTCATCCCCTCTACTCTATCAGACACTGGGTATGTGAACTGCAGCATAACCTGTATTGCAAGGACTCGACAGATGTCTCCTCGATAGATCATACTTTTGCCACATGTGGGCTGTCTTTGTCAGTTGGAGGGAGGTAGAAAGAGGCCTCATTTTGACTTAATTCAAGCTGCCTTCTTGAGTTTGGCTTTGTCAGAGAGCCCTGAACACTAAGGAATAATGAGAACTCATTTGGACCAATAATAAGTGATATTTGCACTTCCATCTTCAAGTCCATTTCTTAAGTGGTTAGAAACCAGTGGGAAGTAGGGTCAAGGGGTTGGCATCCACAGATTTCCGAAACGAATTCTGCTCAGTTTCATCCTTCCTACTCATACCCAAAATGTTGATGCACGACTTAAATCTTTCAATATGTCCCCAAGGCCCAATCTTGGGGTAATTTTAAAACTATTTAGAATAATGAAAAAATGTTTTTATTAGGGGCCAGCCTGATGGTGTAGTAGTTAAGTTTGGCACACTTCACTTTGGCAGTCTGGGTCCGCAGGTTTGGATCCCGGGTGCGGACGTACACCCCTCATCAAGCTGTGCTGCGACAGTGTCCCGCATGTAAAATAGGGGAAGATGGGCACAGATTTTAGCTCAAGACCACTCTTTCTCAAGCAAAAAGATGAAGATTGGCAACAGATGTTAGCTCAGGGCCAGTCTTCCTCCCTCCCCCCCCAAAAAATGCTTTTTTTATATGGGTCTTCTCCACCTGTCTACCCATCTCCTTCACCATCCCCCTCCTTTCAGCCTACCCCTCAGCTTTACAGAGCCACTGGAAGTTCCCTCTGAAATATTGTAGTTCCACGCATCTCTCTGCATGGCTTCTGTACGCATACCCACTCTGCTCCACCCTCACTCCCACATACACATATTCACTGCTTGGCAAACTCCTACATCTCCTTCCAGAATATGGTAAAATGTTACAGTCTCAATGAGAAGACTACATTCCAAGTGAATTGATTAGCACCATTTTCAGCTAGGTTCATGTAAATAAAGACCACTTATGAGTGATTCGTGGTTCCTCTTTCACTTTCTCTCTTTTTAATTAAAACTGTTTAAATTTTTTATTTTGGTAAGACCACCTAACATAAAGATTACCCCCCTTACACAATTTTAAGTGTACAATACAGTATTATTACCAATAGGCACATCAGATCTCTAGAACTTATTCATCTTGCATAACTGAAATTTTATACGTGTTGATCAGCAACTCCCCATTTCCTCCTCCCCCTAGCCCCTGGCAACCACCATTCTATTCTTTCTTCTATGAATTTGTCTGTTTTAGATACCTCATATAAGTGGAATCATGCAGTATTTGTTCTTCTGTGACTGGCTTATTTCATTTAGCACAGGTTCCTCTAGGTTCATCTATGTTGTTGTAAATGACAAGACTTTCTTCTTTTTTAAAGATGAATAAAATATGCCGTTGTATGTATATGCTACATTTTCTTTATCCATTCCTTCATCATTTGGGCTGTTTCCGTATCTTCAATATTGTGAATAATGCTACAATGAACATGAGATCACAGATATCTCTTCAAGATCTTGATTTTAACTCTTTTGGATAAATCCAGAAGTAGGATCGCTGGATCATATGGTAGTTCTATTTTTAATTTATTGAGAAACTTCTATACTGTTTTCAATAGTGTTTGCACCATTTTGCATTCCCACCAGTAGTGTACAAGTGTTTCCTTTTCTCCACATCCTTGCCAACACTTGTTATCTTTTGTTTCTTTGGTAATAGCCATCCTAACTGGTATGAGGTTATACATCATTGTGGTTTTGATTTTCATTTTCCTGATGATTAGTGATGTTGGGCATCTTCTCATACACCTGTTGGCCATTATATGTCTTCTTTGGAGAAATGTGTGTTCAAGTCCTTAGCCCATTTTTCAATCAGATTATTAGATTTTTTGCTGTTGAGTTGTAGGAGTTCCTTATACATTTTGGAAATTAACCAGTTAACAGATATATGGTTTGCAAATATTTTCTCCCGTTCCGTAGGTTGCCTTTTCACTTTTTTGATGGTTTCCTTTGCTGTGCAGAAGCTTTTTAGTTTGATGTAGACCTCCTTGTTAATTTTGCTTTTTTTGTCTGTGCTTTCAGTGTCATATCCATGAAATACATTTCCAAGACCAATATCACAAAGCTTTTCCCCTATATTTTATTCTAGGAGTTTTACCGTTTCAGGTCTTATATTTAAGTCTTAAATCCATTTGGAGTTGATCTTTGTGTGTGGTGTAAGATAAGAATCCAATTTTATACTTTTGCATGCGGAGGTCCACTTTTCCAACACCATTTGTTGAAAAGACTGTCTTTTCCCCATTGTGTATTCTTGGCATCCTTGTTGAAGATCAGTTGACCGTATATGCGCGGATTTATTTCTGAGCTCTCTATTCTGTTGCATTGGTCTATACATCTGTCTTTATGCCAGTACTATATTACTTTAATTACTGTAACTTTACAAACAAATTGCACCTCTTACTCTCCTCTTCTATTTCC